TAACATCTTTGTTCCTCAGGCTATAGATCAAAGAATTTAACATAGGACTCACAAAGATATAAAACACAGCTACAATTTTACCCTGCTCCACAGATGTTTCTGAAGGGGGCCTCAGATGCATGCAGAACAGTGTCCCATAAAAGACAGTGACAGCTGTCAGGTGGGACCCACAGGTGGAGAAGGCCTGGTGCCTTCCCTCAGCAGAGCGAATACGCAAAATGGCTCTGAAAATGAAAATGTAGGAGATGAGAATCATGGTGAGAGAGCAGGTGAGGTTGGAACCGGCCACCACGAACATGGCCATTTCTTTGACATGAGTATCTGAGCAGGCAAGGACTAACAGAGGTGGATCCCCACAGTAAAAGTGATTGATTTCATTGGGTCCACAGAAAGAAAGACGAAGCATCAGGATGGTCTGGGCCAGACCATTTGCAAAGCCATAAGTATAAGAAATCATGACTAGGGAGATGCAGACCCTTCTGGACATTTTGCTACCATATAACAAGGGTTTGCAGATGGCCATGTAGCGGTCATAAGCCATTGCTGTGAGCATATAATATTCTGTGATCGCCAAGGCAATGAAACAGTGGAATTGTATAAAGCAACCAATGACAGAAATGGTTTTCCTCTTGGATAAGAAACTAACCAGCATCTGAGGAGTGATATTGGTGGCATAGCAGAGATCTAGGAAGGAGAGGTGACTGAGAAAGAAGTACATTGGAGTGTGAAGTCTTGAGTCACTCCTGATTAGCAAGATCATGCTCAAGTTGCCAATCACTGTGATCAGGTAGATGACCAGGAATACCACAAAAAGGATGGGCTGCAGCTCTGCTCGATCTGTCAGACCCAGGAGAATGAACTCAGTCACCTCTGTGGAGTTCTTCTTTGACATTGTGTTTGCTTGTCTTCAAAGGAGGTCTAAATCAAGGAAAGAGAGACTTATGCATTTTATCATTCATCCATTATCCCCATCATGTCCTCTGATACTTCCTCCTCTTCTCTCAAACTTGTAAATACAAGTGGCATAAATAAGTAATCTAGTGACCATGCAATGGATGTTTTAAATATCTAAATTAATATAGACAGTTTTAAATACACATAGTCATATTTTAAATGATTTCTGCAAGGCTTTTTGTATTTGAAAATCCTTTATCTTTTTTGCAGCTCTTTACCACATTTGTTCATTTACAAACATCTTAAACATTGCTTTTCTTCAGAATTGGAATGTCATTTATCTTCAGTATACCTCTTGATGTGGTAACTAAAGCATCATCATTGAAACTCATCTGTTCTTTACAGCTGAATAGACTTACTGCAGTGGGACTGATGAATGGCTCACAGCCTTACAGAACTGGGATCTGTCTACCTGCCCTCTAAACTCAAGTGTGTTTTCAGCTTGTCCCCTGTCCCTGAAGTGCATGTCCTTTGCCCCCCACTCTCATCTACCTCAGGTGTCCATCTTATCACCAGATCTTACTTAACTTTTTTTATTGTTGTTCATTTACAGTTGTCCCACTTTTTTTCCCATTGCTCTCTCCAGCCCCACGCTCTGTCCCCCAACCCTGCTCCCACAGTCAACCCCCACCCCATTTCCATGCCCATGAGTCATGTGTTCATGATCCTTGACTTGTCCCTTCCCTTCCTTTTCCCCATTGTCCCCCTCCTCCTTCCCTTCTTATCACTGTCAATCTCTTCTTTATTTTCATGTTTCTGGTTCTATTTTGCTCATCTTTTAAGACTCAGCTCAGGATGTCCTTAGCTTTCTATATAATTGCCCAAAGAGCAAAAATCAGTTCTTGCAATACAAAAATAAATCTAGGGGTATTTTTGATAAAAACAGATGTGCATACAGTATATAAACAATATATATATGAATATAGAGATAAACACATATGCTTATCAGTGCTATTAAATGTTCATGGGTATAGCAATTAGGAGTAAATAATGTGTTAAAACTCCCTGTGGTGATGTTTTAATACATAAATAATGAAAAAATACAATACAAGAATGAAAAAAAATGGTTCACAAATATTTTCCCAGATCATAATAATTAATTTTATTGTAACTCTACCTTATTTTAACTCTTGCAAAATTGAGACAAACTCTATGTGAATTCCATTGAAATTCTTTAAAACATCTAAAGGGTCACACTGAAAAAATAATCATACAACCCATACAACTGAGACAGTACCTAAGATATCATAAAGAGCCATCCCCCAACGTGTCTTCAGGATAAAAGTTACCATAAAGACCATTGTTGAAAATTCTGTGTCCTCCTTCAATAACACCTGTGCAGCTATGTCCATGTAACAGTGATTTTTGATAATAGCTGCAATGCCAAGGATGAACACAGCTCACTTTATAAGGCGCTTTGTAAATGCATCAATCCAGCATTCTTGTTGATTGTGTTACCCTATTCTGCACTTGAGGACTTTGCACCTCAAGGTGCAAAAGTAATAAAATGTAAGACAAGTCACCTAAATCAGCAAAATCATAATCACTTTGCAGTTTTTTCCTAAGTTCATAAGATTATAGTTATAGCCATAATACACAAGTACTCTTTTGTGCTTGGATTGTATTTTAATAAGTATTTATTTATTGAAATGTTAACCAAGAGTCAAAACAATGAATGTCTCATTCAGTTTCTCTTGTGATAAAATGAGGCAATGCAAACAAAACTTTTCATATTAGCCAGCTGATTAATTCCTTTATGGTAATAACCTTGCTTTAAAGAAGCAGAATACATCCTTCATGATTTAAGCAAGGAAAACTCACCTAGAAGTACTTGCAAGTGGACAGAGTGAGTCTGGGAACCCCCGAGGTTTGCACTCTTGACATTCACCCTCACTCTGGGGCTCTTTCATACAATGCTTGCTGCCACTGTCCAGTCACCCAAAGAGTAGAGGTTAGTCTTCAGCTTTCATGAGAATGATGCCTCCTTAGCATGGGGTCACAGTTCAACTTAAAGTGGAAAAATTAATTTAGAAAAAGCATCTTCATGAAGTGTGTTTTAGTCATTTTAAATAATATAGACAATTAAACCTACAAGTGACCAAGTGCCTATGAAATGGGTGCAGAACATCATAAGGCAAGATGCTTATAATTATACAGTAGCACTGCTAACTCAGAATGAATGAAAATGGAAACGCTATTTATATCACCCCTTTATTTTACCATCAGTCAAGAGAGAATAAGCATGGCTAGTTATGGAAAGCAGACAAGAGTGTTCAACAGTTACTGTACATATGCCATGGGACTTCTTGTTCCAATATGTCATGTCCTCTAATTCTCATCTGTGGGGCCTGGGCACGTTATTCCTCTCTCTGTGCCTAAGATTGCTTGTGCATAAGGTTTGCTTACTAATAGCAGTTCCTTCCATGTCAGGGAGTTAATCAAGGTAAACCTTCTAAAATATGCCTGTCTTAGACTGAGCACTTAATAAATTGTAGCTACTGCTGTTATTTGGTGAAGAGTCCAGTTCTAGCCTAAAACAAGAGGACATAAAGTGTGGGGTCCTTGGAGACAAGGTTATCTAATCTGTAGCTATAGCCTCAGTGGCACGTAGACTGATGCCTTCTCAAGTGGAGGCAACTCATGATTATGGACAGGATGGCTGTTCTCTTTGGTCTAATTCCTGCCTCATAAATACTACTTCATGGTTCATTCATTAATACTTGCAGTCTGAGAAGAATAATAGAGTGTAAATCAAGACATTTGCTAATTCATCACAGTATATTTGTGCCAACTATTTTTATTGAATAAATACCTCTTTCTAGATCCCAAAATATATTTTACAATACCTAATCCTACCTGTGAAAGAAGGGTGACTTCTCAGTGGCAGCATGGATATGAAAAACCTAAAGAGTTTATAACAGAATTATTGCATAAGGATCAAATCCCTGTAGTTCAATTATTTGTAGCACAAAACCACTCAGACAATAAAAAATCACTACTGTTTTATTCTTTTCCACATCCTAAGCTCACTAAGGACATAATTTTTTCCACTCCCCAATATCACCAGGGAATCACATTTCCCAAGACACATGAAGCCATAGAATTTCTTACTTAACTTATGCTTCAATATCTTAATTTTTAAATTTGTATAAATATTATTTTTTTGTTTACAATTTGTGATATAAAATAGTACAGTAGTATAGTGAGAAAGGTTGGAATATGAAAACCATTGGAAGATCAATTCACTTTTATTGATCTTGGACCAGTCATTTTCTAATTCTGAGCCTTGTGATCTACTTTTCAATGGGAACAATAATTTGTAGCTATGTGGACACTGTGGATATATAGATAACACAGATGTACTGGTGGTTCTCCCTTTGGCACCCTACCCAACCTGGACTTGTTGCTTTTCTTCTCTGCTTTGCTTAGTTCACCTGAAGTTTACTTTATGATCAAAGCATCAGAGCTCCATGAGTAACCAGTTTCTAGCACAGTTTGGCCAATGAGAGAAACCACCAGATTTCAGAGTTGAAGAAAAGGAAAGATAGCTCAGTTTCTACCTCATTCCCTCCAGCTTCACAATCACAGTGACAGACTGGCTGCATCTTTCAAAGGAAGACTCATGATGAGGTGTTTGTTGGTGAAGAAATTGACCTGGCCTAGCTCTTACTGGGCTCTGGGGCCTGCCTGGCCACTGCAGGACTAAGAGAAAGAATTTCTTCTTGAAGTTACCTTCCAGTTGCTTACACTTGTTTGACTGATTTATTTCACACTGCTTATATCTTCTGTCTTTTCATTAAATTCCTTTTGAGCAGTCTGAGTAGAATTCTGTTTTATGCTGTGTCCTTGGCTCAGGCCAGAGCAGCAGGCACATAATAGTGATTGAATAACTGTTGCAGTAAAAGTTGTAGCAGTAATGATTATTATAGTAATATTAATTATTAATTTTGTTAAAGTTTCGGGGTTTTTCTGAATTCACCATTTTTGGAGGTGAAAAGGCCATTGAATGACCCTCCTTCTGGATCCTGAATTAACTGAGGACTACATATACCAGTTGAATACTAACATCACTAGCATTATGGAGGGTAAATTAGGATCAGAGAACATGGTTTCAAACACACTTTTCTGTACTCTTGCACTGATCTGAAGTCACTCAGACATAGCAGAATAGTGACATGATTCTTACTTATTCCCCCCTTTCCAGAACCATGGGCAGTCAGCATGTCTGTTTGAGGTGAGACATGTGTACCAGTCACAGAGAGGACAAGAGGATGCTGAGCCAGAAAGCTGCAGTATTTCTTTTCCTAAGCACCCCAGTCTTCATTTGCCTTTTCAAGGTAAGTATGTAGGGGTGCACAGAGGCAAGAAGTTGAAGTGTACTTCATAGTCTTTCCTTTAAAGACATTTAGAAATTTCTGCATCAATGTTTTTATCATAGTTGGCAACCCCCTTTCATCTGCTTATGCATTCCAGAAAACTTGGAGTCGTTGTTGATCTCTCCCTCTCATTTCCACTAGATCCCGTAGCCAAGTATCATCTCTATGACTTTTTAAATATTCGACTCAAATTTTTCTACATGAAGAGAAAGAAAAACAAGAACAGTAACAAGAACAAGATAAGATCAAGAGGAGAGAAAAGAAAAAAAAGGTATTTCTGCAATTGAAAAGAACTTCAAAATGGTCTGCAAGTATGTTCTAAAAGTATTAGACAATTCCTTTTCTTAAAATTTTACAAATTGTTATTAACTGATTTCATAAGTAAAAATTTCACCCTCAGGGAAGTGCTATAAATGCCAAGTTCAGAACTGCCTGGAACAGAATTCCCATTAGACATTTTAATAAAACCATATGGTTTAAAGTGTTTTCAGAACAAGCACAGAAGAATCTAAAAATAATTTTTGAATGAAACATAGTTCTTTTTGTGTCTTTGGAAAATTAT